TGTCGCGCTAGCACCTGTTCCCGTCTATCACGTCACAACCGTGCACCTGCTACATGGGGCTAGCATGGAGGATGTTATCTATGTGCTTACAGCTACTGCAGTGTTTCTGTGCAACACAACAACTTTGCCAACTACCTATTACGAGAGCTTTCCGACTCACATTCGCCGCATCGTATAAGCCAACACGGGATTTACAGTGGTTGGTGATCAAGATGCACCTTCCTACGCTGTTCTGCTTCGTCGCCGCTGTCACCACGACGGCAGGTGTCCAGTTCGGCGACTTGAAAGATCCTATCAACATCCTAGGCATCGGACGCAACGACATCGAAATCTTCTTGGGCATTCCCTATGCTCATGATACCAGCGGCGAAAACAGATTCAAACCACCGGTTCCCTACGAATACTCTCCAGGTACTACCATCGATGCTACCAAGCCTGGTCCCGCATGTCCACAACCATTGGGTGTGCTCTATCCACCTCTTGGATTGGGCAATATAACTGAAACATCCGAGGACTGCCTGAATTTGAACGTAGCGCGGCCAAAAGCGACTGACAGAGTTGGAAAGGGACCACTGCCAGTTCTGGTATGGATACATGGAGGATCTTTCTGGTGGGCAAGCAACACGGAGCCGACGACTGCGCCTGACGGAATGATCAAGCAGTCGGTAGAAAATGGGGACCCAATCATCCATGTGGCCATGAATTACCGTCTCGGGTTCTTTGGGTTTGCCAGTTCAGACTGGTTGAAAGAAGAAGGAAGCATGAACGCTGGTCTACGTGATCAGCGCGCTGCTATCGAGTGGGTCCGCACCAACATTGCTGCTTTTGGCGGGGATCCGGAGAGGATTACGATTGCCGGCCAGTCTTCCGGCGGCCTCGCAATCGGAATGCAGATTATGGCTTACGGCGGAGAGAAGCCACTTCCTTTCGAGCGAGGTATCGCCCAGTCTCAGTCCCTTGAGCCTGGTATCACAGGGAATTTCGCCAAGGATGCGATGATCGCGCTGGTCAATTACGTGGGGTGCAACACTACTGATGTGGACGCTCCAGGGACGATTGAGTGTCTACGGGGACTAGATACTGAAACACTCTTTGAAGCCTCGAACGCGACGTATCTCAGCGATATCGCGCATAATATTGGGGACATCTGGTTGCCACAGGTGGACGGCGATTTCCTTCCTGCGGCACCAAGTCAGCTCATCGCAGAAGGACGCTTCGGTAACGCTACCTTTATGTCCGGCTGGATGGAAGGCGACCTTAACGTGTACACCAACACCTCCATCGCAACCGCACAAGATACGTACAACTTTGTTCGCGACTACCTACCGGCTATGTCGGAGGAATCTCTCACTCAGTTACTGGACTTGTACCCGGTAGAAGAATTCGGAACCAGTGTGAACCTAACAGCAGAGTTCTATCGCTCTGCACGCATCTTCCGCGATATTCTCATGGTGTGCCCATCGCTACATCTGGGTGTTGCAATTGACAAAGTGCACAAAGCGCCAGTCTACTTCTACAACTTCAACCAGACAATACTTGATCCCATCCTCGAGTACACCGAAGACGTTGTTGGCTTTGGCGTGGTACACACGTCTGAGTTTGCGTACGTCTTCGACAGCATGCAAGTGTACAACAAGACGGACTACCCGTTTGACCCGACCGAGTACGACTACGAAATTGCTATGCGAGCAAGCCGGTCGTGGAGCACCTTTGTGAGTCAAGGAGCCCCGGCAGAGAGCGGATCACAATCCACCACATTGTTGAACTGGGATGAGGCATTTAGCCGGCCAGGTAAGATCTCTCATTTGCGAACTGCGTGTGAGGCATGCGCTGACTCCGTACATTAACATTTAGGCGGTCCGTATGTCAGGACGATTGGTGGCGCGCATCCGAGCAATAGTGCGCTGGGCATGGCGAACGCGACAAGAGAGATGGCAGAACAGAGATTACAGGAGCGATGTGCTTTCTTTAACAGTCCGAAGATCATCCAAGCGCTTCAGTATTGAGGAGTAGCTCAGTCTGAGACAAGGTCTCTCAGTATGGGCAGTACAGGGTGTGAAATACATAAAGACGTTGTCGACGATACAACATGAAACGGGAATTTTACAAAGGGTATCTCAGATCGATTCACGACATAATCAAGCTTCTACGACTGCATGTGGCGCACCTCTCTACTCTGCCTGAACTTCCTTGCTGTCCGTGGCCAACCCCAAAATAAACTCCCACTCCTCCTTCCTTACCCTACTCACACTCAGTCTCGAATTCGTGACAAGCTGCATATCCTTCAACGGCCCCTCTTTAGCAAACTCTTTAATCTTCGCTAAATCTATCACATGCTCAAACTCGCTCACAAACTCGACGTCTACACAGAACCATTTGGGCTTCTCCCTCTCGCTCTTCTTGTCATAGTAGGGGTCCTTGGGGTCAAAGGCCGTCTCATCAACCTTTGCTTCGTCAACAACACGCAGTATACCTACGATACCCGAAGGCTTGGCGTTGGAGTGGTAGAAGAAGCCCAGGTCGCCTTTGCGCATGGCCTGCATATTGTTGCGTGCCTGGGGGTTGCGGACGCCGCTCCAGGGCTCGGGTTCTGTGCAGGCGCGCAGGTCGCTGATGGAGAAGGCGACGTTTACGCCGTTCTCGTAGCGCGCGAGGGGCTCGGCTTTGAGCAGCCAGTAGACTTCTTGGGCGCCGGTCGCGTCGCGGTTGGTGGATGAAACAGGCGCGGGTAGAGAGTTCGTCTTAGGAGGTTTAGGCTTGGTTGTAGCAGCTTTTTTGGGCGGAGGAGCGCTGCTGTCTGTTGTATCTTGGTCGGCGTCGTCTTCGCGGTCACGCTTGCGACGCATCGCCTGCCTGGCATTGCGCTTGAGCTGTGTCTCTTCGACGGATGAACTGTCATCTTGGTTGTATTTTGGTGCTGCCGCTGCCGTTTGACGCGTAGATCTTCGTGTGCCAGCCATGATGAGGTTGTGGTAGAGTTGCAATGCTCGTCGACGTTGAGGTGCTGTACGCCGCGAGCGTCCAGCGCTCTGACGCTATTGGCTGATATCTCTCGTGTTTGCCGCTTGTACTTCGCTCCGCACCTCGACACAGTATTTGCCACCCGAAGGACATCCGAAGGACATTTTATGGACCCGTTCGAGCCAGAACCTCGTCAAAATGTCCCTCGACGACTCAAATAGCCATGCTCCGCTATGATACTATGCAGGCATCTCCTCGGTCTGAGGCTATGCGCGCGATTAAGCGCACCGCGACGTAAAGTCAAATATTCAAACCAGAACCCTCGGCTTTGTCGTGTCGGAATGCTCAACCGGCAGTATTCGCGCAGCCCTTGTCGTAACTCAGCGGTTTCCTCCACGTTCAGATTCGACCCATACCGAGCGCAGACCGGACCGACAGCGCATCGGAGAGCCGCCACGAGCAGCAATCACCCAAACCACCGCGCGGCAATGAGAGGCGTAAACAACGATCATCCAAGCTCCATCTTAGGCCCGGCCATATCATGCACGATCCGGGACCGCCGCTTTCCTCCCTAGCGGTCGTGTCCTTGCACATCACGGTCCGGCCAACTGCCTCAACCTAGACAAGTTCATGCAACTCTACGGAGCACCCCACTAAATTTATAGACCCGACAACGCCGCTACGGACGTAGCTACGACGGAAACTCCGGTTGGGTAGTAGTACCTACCTAGCAAAGACCAACATTCGGCCGACATGGACTCCATTTGTGAGGGACAAGATGTAACGAGACTTGGCACTGGTATACATAGAAGACTCTTGCCCTTTCTTTACCAATTACAACAAGCCATTTCAAGTACGTTGCATTGAGATCAACCATGGACGCTTTCACCAAGAAGACCCTGAGAACCTCCCGAGGCATCACATACACCTACTACACGTGCTCTGGCAACACGTCTCTCCCAACCCTCCTCTTCCAACACGGCTTCCCCGACCATGCCGCCATGTGGGCAGACGTCGCTAGCTCTCTCCGACCACTAAACCACCCCGTTATCATTCCCGACATGCTGGGCTACGACGGAACGGACAAGCCCACAGACCCATCCGCCTACACCTGGGACCATATGACCAACGACATGGTGGAAATCCTCAATGCTGAACAAGCGCCAAAATGCATCTCAATCGGCCACGACTGGGGCTCCGCAGCCGCAAGCCGCCTGTACAACTACCACCCCGAACGCGTTGTCGGCTTGGTCAACCTGAACGTCGCCTACACGGCACCAAGTCGCAAACCCTTCGATCTCGACGCCGCAAACGCCCTCATGAACAAGATCTTTGGCTACCCATCGCTATCGTACTGGTACCTCTTCACCGCGCCTGACGGACCAGCACTTCTATCCCGCGATATAGAGGCCATGTTTAACATGATGCACGACAAAGATGGATTGAAAGACTTCTTCTGCACACCCGACACCATGCGTGAAACACTCTCCGGGCAAAAGGAACCAACCTTCTCTCTCCGACCCTATGCGCAAGACCCAGCTTTCAAGAAGGCGTTCCTTGATCGTATGGCGCGCGATGGGTTCGAAGCGCCCGTGTGCTGGTACAAAGCCATGACAGGCAATCTGCAGCATCAAGTCGATGTCAAGTTGCCTGAAGGGAAAGAGATTGTCAATGTACCCACGCTGTACATCGGATGCAGAGAGGATGTGGTGTGCAGACCCGAAGCCATGTATGAGAGTATTAAAAAGGGCTTGTTGCCGCAGTTGGAACAAGCGGATACGATTGATGCGGCGCATTGGGCGACGTATGAGAAGCCTGCCGAGGTGGTGAAGCGGTTGGAGGATTGGCTGAAGAGGAAGTTTGCGCAGTGAGTCTGTGTAGCATCGGCAGCTGACTATCTATGCATAAAACTTAGACAGATGTGACATGGTTTGCAGGAAACAGTTTTCCAACACCACAGTAAACACCCCAATACCAGTCTCCATTGATATCAGCTGCTTCCCTTATCTCTGCTCCTCTAGGAAAGGATAATTCATCTTCTACTCCTTCATCCGGCAGATAGCCCCATCTAGCCAGTAATCTCAAGCCTATACCGCCATCTGGTGGGTACCGCTGTACTCTGGCCATTTCGTCTTCTTCTTTCAGTGCGTAGCCGCCTACTAGATCGCGGACAACCATGCGCCGTTGTGCGCCGTCACGGTCTTCGAATCCTACAATGTACATGCGATGGCTGCGGAGGCACTTGCGCCATCCGTTTACGCCGTCTTCTTTGGTGATGCGACCGCTGATGACGAGTTTGTGGTAGCAGCTCATGCAAATGTCGTAGTCGCCAGTGTTACACTTGAGGCAGTGATAGCGTGTGTTTGATGGTGGGATAGGGTAACTGCATATGTTACACAAGGTTGTAAAGGTGAGAGGGCGGAAGATGAAATTCGCAATGGTAAAGTACCCTGGCCCTCGCATAAGAGACGCGGATTTCGGTGTCAACGGAGGGGTTGTGGGTGTTGCGTCGAGGTCTGGGGGAGCAAGATGTCCATCCTGACGTGGCGTAGAGGGCGCGGAGGGAACTGTGTCAGTAACAGACTGCGAGTCTCTTGTCTTGCGGGCAACGGGAACAAGAGGATGCGTACAGTGATGCCCCTGGTTAACGCAATCATTACAATAGCCCCAGTCGCCGTCGTTGCAATAGTCACATTTCCAGTAGCAGGCGTTGGCGTATGCCTTGCACATATCGCAGAAGACGCCAATTTCTACCCTCTGCTTGGGGTCATCCTCGCTCATGAGCACATGTGGTGGTGTCGTGGATTCCGTCAAGGGCGTCATGGGTCTGCGATATCGGTGCCCGACCAGGATATGGGGATGCTCGTGATAGGGCGGATAACCACCCTCTGGTGCTTCGCGCTCATACCGGGGCCAAGCAGTCCAACCAAAGCCGTACCAATGCTTGCATCCTCTACCAAGACGATAGCAGCGAAGACACACGTTGTACTCGCCACCATGGCAGCGTCGACAATTGTAGTGAAGCTCGTACTGTATGTCGTTTTTACCACAGCGTTGGCATGCCACATGGGGCTCTGTATATAGGGCAGGAGTACCTAGTGATGAGCTTGAAGCTTGTCTCGATCGAGTCTCGCTCACGGTCGGATCGGGGGTGGAGCGAGGGAAAGCACGAGGCGATAGCGAGGGGGGAGTAGTACTGTGAGAAGAGCGTGGCAGTTCGGCTGTGGTAGGGTCGGTAGTACGGCGAGCCGAAGGAGGCTGGAAAGGCGTGACGGCAGGAGTAGAGGAAGACGAGGGCACAGCTGGAGTGCCAACTGTAGCTAGAGAAGTCGTTGGACTGCCGCTGTTGGGCAGATCGAAGCCGAGGCTCTGGGGCGAGCTAGGACTTGACACTGTCTCATTGTTGTTATTGTTGTTGCTGGCGTGGAGACTGATGCGGAACTGCTCTCGAACGTCGAGCCTATTTCTCTGCTGATTTTCGGACTGTCGCCGTGGCCTTGGACGAGCGAGTTCCGATGATGAATGACAGTCGCCGGACGCCGGATTTGCAGGAGCCGAGCCAGGTGCAGGGCGCTCTACCCTCGTGGCGGATCGAGAGCTGCCCTGGCTTGACGATCGCTGGCGCGGTGCCCGCCCGCCTCGATTTGCGGCGTCGATGAGAGCAGGTCTGGATATGGGGGGTCCTACTGCCGTCTGGGGCGTCGATGCGCCACTCTCGGAACGTCCATGCCTTCTCCTGCGCGCAGCTTCGTCGTCCAGACGCTCCCGCCTCTCCCTCCTCTCGCGCTGTCTTTCGGCATGTCGCTCTGCCTGCCGCCGTCGCACAGCCTCGGCTATCCTCTCGGTGATCTCGTCTTCCTGCGCAGTGCCAATCTGGTTCAGGTCGACGCCCTCGGACACCAGCTCCTCCAGCACCTGGCGCACGAGATCTTCGTCGACGTCTTCTGCGTCGAGGTCCGAGGCGCTCAGCAGAGAGCGCAGGCTGGACTGGTGCTCGATGGCGCGGGGCGGTATGACGGCCCTGGACGGGGATGCGCCGGGCGGATTTTGGCTGGCAGACCGCCTCCCGTTGCGGCTTCGCTCCCTTGTTGTGCGCTCTCTCCGAGGCTCCCGGCTGGCCCTCCTGCTGCTTGCGATGCCCGCGTCCCTCAGACTCGGCTGCTGAGCCGCCTCGAGCATGCGCTGATGGGTGTCATCGCGCTCATCCCGGCGCCTGAGCTTGGGTAGCACATTGTCGCCTGGCCGGTATCTGTCGCGGTCCGCCTGCTTCTCTTGGGCGCTTTTGCCGCTCTGGGGGTTCGCCTTGAGGAAGATGTCGAGCAGCGTGGTGACGGTGGCATTGGGCTGTGTGGTGCGCACCGAGGCCCGGCACGAGGGGCAGGTGTACGGGTGTATCGACGTGGCGGTCGAGGCTTGGAAGGCGAACCACTCCTTCAGACAGGCGCCGCAGAAGGTGTGCAGGCAGTCGAGCAGCGTGAGCGGCTGGTAGAGCACGTCGGTACAGATCTGGCCATGGCCGAGTTAGCAGCCGCCTCGTCGTCGTGCTCCTCGACTTACCGAGCACGTCAGTTCCTTTTCCAGGTCGCCCTGGACTCCGCCAGCGCCCTCGCCCTCGGCCATGGTTCGTCGCAAACTGCTCGTCAGGCGCCTGCGGTTGACTCTCAGCTAGACTGCACACTTGGCGAGCCTCGACGGTACAAGGCGCCGTAGCATATGCATGCCAGCACACGCTTTCATCGGCCCGCTGCAGCCTCTATGTTGCTTGCCGCAACGAGCGCACACTTCTCATGTCGCTACGTCACGCGACTTGCGCACGTGTCAGCACCTCAGAACCCCGGAGTCGGTGAGAGACGGCATCAAACATGCGACATGTCGTGACCAGCACAGGCGCCTGACGCCTCGTCCGTCTCGCACCCTCCCATTCTGGCATATATCAAGCTATCCGGTCCTGTAGCACCTGATGTTTGGTACATCGTTTCACCTGTGCTGCAGCCACCGCAACTTGCCCCTGGCCCAGGCGTACCCAAGACACGGTTCACGTCACTGGCTTCTTTCCGCGACCGTCAGGTATCCACGCGTTCACGCCTGAGGTTTCGAAACCTTGATCTTCAAGTCAGTGCCATCGCATGCAAGTCCAAAACAGAAAGACTGGGCGGCAGGCTCATAAATCGCATATCTACAACTATATCATATAATCCCTTCCTTCCTCATACATTCTTACATACAGGCTCCCACAGTCATCCCCCCTTTCAACCATTATTCTTATATACAGAAAAGACCGATTGGCTAGTCGCCAGCACATAGCCGTCACCTTGCTAATCCTTCACATCATCTTCTCAATCAAGTACCAAGCCTAGTGCTCAGTTGTTGTTGTTGTTGTTGTTGCCGCCGTTGCCGCCCTGGGACTGTTGTCCAGCACCATTACCTGCCTGTTGGGGCTGGTTACCTCCGGCCTGGGTCTGACCCTGAGATGCTTGGCCTGCAGCCGCACCGTTGCCTGCCTGTTGCTGGGAACCGCCGTTTTGCGTCTGGCCTTGAGACTGCTGTCCTGCAGCCGCACCCTTGGTTCCCTGCTGTTGGTTGCCATTGTTCTGGTTACCACCATTTGGTGTCGCCTGTTGTCCATTCTGCTGTCCCTGCTGCTGTCCCGTTTGTTGTCCAGCTTGTTGACCTTGTTGTGGAACCTGCTGTCCGGCGGCACCTTGAGCTCCCTGCTGGGGAGCCTGCACACCTGTAGTTCCCTGGGGTGCTTGTCCGTTGGTAGGGGAGATGCCGGCGCCTTGCTGAGGCGCTTGTCCGTTGTTCGTAGCAGTGCCAGTATTGCCGGCGGCAGCACCACCAGCTGTTCCGGTATTCTGGACTTGGCCATTGCCAGTTCCTTGAGCAAGAGCCTGACCAGCGGCAAATGCAGCGGCGGGGCTACCTGCTGGCGCACCAGGCTGAGTGGGGCCAGTCCCCTGGACACCACCAGCAACGCCAGTCTGGTCGCAGACAGTGGGACGAACTGCCTGCGAGGTAGATCCAGTAGAGGCCATGTAGGCATCAATGTTGGGGAGGACGTTAACGCAGCGGTTCTGGTTGATCAAGTCGATGTTACCAGCGGCAGCCATTCCCTGAACAGACATCTGCTGAAGCTTGTCGACGACATCCTGGAAAGAACCGCCAGTGGCGAGGGTGCTGTTGGCAGCAATGACATTGGGGTCCGCGCCGTTAGCAGCGTCAATGATGGCCTTGTGGTTGAGCTCATCGACCTCGGCGTTGAAGGCTACGGTGGCAGCCTGCTTGAACTGAACGTTGTTCTGGATGCTAGCTCCAGTGTTGAGGAAGTTAGAAACCATCGAGGTATCGGCCATCCAATTGGAGACCGCAGTAGCGAGGTCGTTCGCAGTGGGAGTTTGTCCATTTTGGATACCAGCGCCAAGTCCAGTCGGGGCATTGGTGGTGCCTTGCTGTTGCTGGTTTCCGGTCTGCGCTCCTTGTTGCTGTTGTTGCTGATTGCCGCCCTGGTTCGTAGTCTGTTGACCAGTCGTGGCGGCAGCAGTATTGCCGTTACCACCGTTGCCGCCCTGCACCTGGGCGAATGGGGCAGCGTAAGCTGCAGAGCTAAGGAGCGAGGCAATGAAAATGTACTTCATTTTGTCTGTGAGAACGGATCTGTCGAGTGGACTAAGATTATGAGTAGAGATATCAAAGAGTGAATGGAATGCTGAGGTTGTAGAGTGGAAAATATTAGTCTGTAGTGAGTGAGGAACCAGTCCGATGAAGACTATCAGGATGATGGGAGCTGTGGTATTTGTATCGCCTCTGTTACAACTTCGGAAAGCCTTGCCGTCAAGGCATGATGGTGGGCAGGCCTATGCATCGTAACAGTCTGGGGATCAAGCCCTAGGGCTCGCAGCCCTTGGCGTCAAGTCAGGTAGCACACGCTTAGCTCAATGGCGTAGTTTCGAAGTATGCCATATTTTGAATCAGGCGCTTCCAAATGGCCTTCCAAATTGCCGAGACCCTCAAAGCGAGCGATGCCGAAGTTCAGCCCTAAACTCAAACAGGACGTTTCGCAAGGTACGCCATGTCGTGCATGTAAGTTGGATTAGTTAATGATGTTTTGCAAGCCGATGTCATTGTTTTGACAGCGTCTGGGAACAGGTTTCGTCGGTCTTGGCGCCCGAAGCTTGCAGGCGATCATCAGATCTTGTGTTGAACCTTAGTCCAAACGCCCCACAATTGTTCCAGATCGACACAGGCAGGCTTCAGGTCGCCCAATTCCTGTTGCGTGCTCATACGACTTGATCGCGCTGTGTATCTGTGGATTTGATCCTTGAGTACGCACAATGATGCTTCATTAGACTGTAGAGATGTGTAAGCAAAAAGATTTACGATATTGCTTGTTGCAAACAATCTGTCAAGATAAACAAGTTTCGCGTCGAATCTGTTCATAATCGTATCCGTATTGCAAATATCTAAGATCTTAGAGGATCTTCAGAGGCGTGCAATCATTCATCGCCCCGTTTGGAAAATGCTGAGGGAAGCTGGAAGCGGCAAGAAGCGCTAGAGTCCACTAAAGCACGGCGTAACAAGGTCTGGTGTATCAGTTGCAGGAGCAGCAGAGATTTGTAGGGAGGTTTATGCGACTGTAGCCTTCTCTTCTTACATTGCCATTCCAAATGCAGTTCGGAGTCCGAGAGAACTCGTGATGCTCGATTTGAGAGTTGTGAAACTGCCGCTCGTAACGAGGGGAAGCTCATTGCGAGGGTGACTGATATACAAGTCAGTGCTGCAGGTCGTTCTGCCTGCCAGCATGGCGACTATTGCTTTCAGAGTCCATTTCGGTCTCGATCTTGCGGATGATGCGAGCGGGATTGCCAGCGACGACTGTAAACTCTGGGACGCTCTTCGTAACGACGCTTCCTGCGCCTACGACGCTACCTCTACCAATCATAACACCAGGCAGTATGCAAACATTGCCACCGATCCAGCAGTCTTCGCCAACGTGGATCTCCTTGCCCAACTCAGGCCCGCTAAGGCCGTTCCGGATGGCTGGGTCGAGAGGATGAGTAGCTGAGTAGAAGTTGACGTTCGGACCGACGAGTGTGCGTGCGCCAATAGTAGTAAGACAGGTGTCGAGGAAGACGGCGTGGAAGTTGACAAAGACATGTTTGCCCAAACGCACATTATATCCATAGTCCATAGTAACCGGTGGGTTAATCCATGGTTCAGCCTCGAACAGCTTGGCGTCTTCATCTGTTGTAGGTGCTGGTGGTGGAAGAGGGGTTTCGTCTTGGATGATGCTAGGCAAAGTATAAGGACGTCTCTCGACAAGCAATCGAGCAGCCACACATACTCTCGAAACAGTTGGACTAGCCTGCGACGCGGTACATCACCGGCATCGTTGAAGCGTCTGCAAGCTTGCCTGCATCGTGCGCGCTCTGCTGTCAGCTCAGGCGTCATGGCATGGTAGAGCTCGCCGCAGAGCATACGTTGCTTGTTCTGCGAGATGTCCATGGCTGGCATGCAGGAAGCTGGCTGCCCGGCGCATGCTACCGAGGCCGGTGTGACGGTTGTGAAGGAGCACAGGTCGCGGGAGCTATGCGCGGGGCGCCAAGGCCCTCGGCTGTTCCCGAGGCCAGCCGGTCCTGGATAGTCGCTCACGCCTTGCTATTGTTCGGCCTCCGCAAGCCATGCGATCGGGGTTGTGCAGCAGGGCCCCTTCTTCTGCGCCTTGGTAGAACCATGTCTTGAACGCCATCGTCCATCCCGTCCTCGCCCCCCGAGCTCCCCGTACTTGACCTCTACCTGCCTGCCATCATCATGGCTCCGAACGGCTCGCTATCCCCCGGTGTCGATATTCTCCCGCCCAACGGAAATGCATCACGCGAGCTTGAGGCCTCAACTGTGGCGGCTAGGAGCCAGCATGCCATCGCGCCCGAGTTCTTTCCCCACGGCAAGCGCTCGCTTTGTGGCATCGCCGTGCGTGCTTTCTGCTTGGGATGCGCCATGACTCTCGGCGTCGTCGGTACGGCTCTGCTAGCATACGACGGCAATCATCTATGGCGGCCTTTCATGTTTCTCAGCGCGCTGTCCATGTTCCACTTCCTCGAGTTTTACACGACGGCCGCGTACAACACCCCAGTCGCGTACATCTCCTCGTTCCTCCTCACCAACGGCGACCAATACCGACAAGCCCATACCTTGGCCTTCATCGAGACTCTGGTGACTTCGTCTTTCTTTCCCGATTACCAATCGACAATCCACCCGCCGTGGGTCATCGCGCTGGGCATAAGCATGGTCGTGGTGGGACAAGCTGTGCGCAGCACAGCGATGATGCAGGCGGGTACCAACTTCAACCACCAAGTGCAGTCGCGTAAGAGCGATGGGCACGAATTGGTGACCCATGGACTGTACCGCTACTTCCGTCACCCCTCGTACTTCGGTTTCTTCTGGTGGGGCATCGGCACACAGGTCATGCTGGGTAACACTGTCTGCTTCTTGGGATACACAGGCGTGCTGTGGTATTTTTTCATGACACGCATTTCACGTAAGCCTTACACACCCATGGCCCCATTCAAGCTGCTCACCCATCCTAGACGAAGAAAAACATCTAATCGAGTTCTTCGGCGAAGAGTACAAGGTGTACAGGGCAAGAACTCGTGTCTGGATACCCTTCATGTAAGCGTCAACTGTGCAGCTTCCGGACAGTTTGGTCGTGCCAGCTAAGTAAAATGAATCTCATAATGCTAAGCTTCACTTCACAACCGAGTCACTTTCCGTCTGGATACATGCAACCCGTGAAGCTCTTTCGTGTTCATTTGCAAGCCAAGAGACGTGTCTGAGCATACGCAAATGAGCTTGTGTCATATTGACGGACTATCTGCATTTTCTTCACCATCTGCCGCGTGTCTCCTCGGCTCAAAGCGACTACACAATCATGCTTTAATGCCGCACTGCTGGTAGGAGCTCCCTGCTCGACAGTGATAGCCGCATGGCCAGCTTGCGTCGCTATATCGGCAATGTATCGAGGTGGAGTGCAAGTATTCTCACTTGCACAGCATTCAGCTTCGTCTTCATCACTGCCGTCTCATTGGCTGTAGGCTACCGCCAGGAACGGCAACCGCGTGTGGGCGCTCAGACTGTTTTTGTCTCCTGCTCTGTAACCCGACGTCCCCCCAACGGTTGCCCACGCCAACGCAGCACGTCTTGTCTCATGCCTGGCGAGCCCCATCCACGTCCTCGTATACGTAACAGCGAGGACAAACTCTACCAATCCTGCCTCGACGCCTGCATCGAGGGTATCGCGAATATAACGGTGAACAAGCGGATTAGTGGTACGTGCAGACTCTCTCACCTGCTCACGCGCCCTGCTCCACTAACCTTTCCCCAGCGACATCCACTCCGAGCAACACCGTCAACATCAAAATCACTGCGCACGAGGGCAGTGATCTTGTAAGAAAGTCTGCTCCGGCTGCGCTCTCCCTTATATCGCCACCTGTATCGCCCGCGCGAGAGGAAGTCGTACGACACACCAGTCCACCTCCACTGTCGTCTTCAGCCATAACCATGGATCGCTCGAGGTACATGAGCGCACCGCCGGCTGCCTCGTCCGGTTGGGCATCTGGTGATGCACGCAGCAATCTCGCTGTTCAACCTGCAGCTTATGCTGGCAAGTTGAAGCTCAAGAAGAACGCCGTCAAGATCGTCGGGGCTGCGGGACCAATTCCTACGACCCCGTCGCGATTCGCACCGCCCGCCCCGTCAGTGACATCATCGCCAGCTCCAGGCTCAGTCAAGACCATGCCCCAGGCTGTTGAAGGGTTCGCATTACTACTTAATCCTTGGACTCCACTAATGTGCGTACAGACCAGCGAACGCCAGTACCTCTAGAGCGTCCAAGCCCGGTCCCCTTCACAAAGAGGGCGCAGCACTTGCTTTGACTGCTCCTACATCGAAAGTGGTTCCGTCCACCAAGGAGGTCGTGAGAGCTACAACTGATGCCATGGACGAAGAATCCGCAATGGATGCACTTTACGCTCGCCTTAACAGCAAAACCATTCTGGGGCCTCGCACACCCGTAGGTCCCACGGTAGCAAGACCTGGCCAAACTGCATTCTCGTTTGGTGCACGTCTTGCTGAGGCCAAGGCAGATAAGATCAAGACGGATAATTCAGAGGCTGAGAAGGGAGGCATCCAGAAGTCTCCCGGTAGCAAGACCGCAGAACCGAGACAAGACAAGCTAGAGAGTGAGTACATGCGTAAGGCGACTGAGTACATCCAGGCGCTTCCGAACAGCACGGGAAACACGGCATATCTCGTCAAGGCCATGTCAAGGAAGCTCCACGACTCATACACGTCAACCACCAAGGTAGATGCTGGAAGCAACGAAGCTCTCAAGGCACGTCTAGCATTCGCAGTCGCCAACTATCTCAATAAGATATTGAAGAAGCGCCCGGAGTCACATACAGCCGACTCAATCAAACAAACGCTTGGGGATATGGATGGAGATTTTCTCCGGCTGTGTGCCAAGCTCGTGGACGAGGGGTACGTCTCCTTGGAGACACTAACTGAAGTATCTGGTATCGTCGCCGCCATGCGTGATGTTCTGCCCAAGCCAGAGCAACCTACCACCACGTCGGTGGAAGCGCCTTTGACGCCAGCACCTTCTGTTGCGATGGGCTCTGAGAACAGCAAGCCCATGTCCAAGGACCCAGTGGATAGCATGAAGGGATGGCCGACCCAGGAGAAGCGCGAGAATCGTAAGTCCTTTTCCGTGCAGACAGAAATTTAGACTGACAAGACATAGCCGCTGCACATCGTACGTGCATCTTGAAGGGTGTTGGGGGGATTACCAGTATCAACCAGTTGCAGGCTCTTGTATGGGGTGGCAAGCTTGAGTCCATTTCCATGCCAGAGCCGGGCTCCTCGAACGCTCTTGTCAAGTTTCTTACACCCGAGGCATGCGACAAGTATCACAAGGACACTGCAAACGGAATCGAGATAGTGGGCGAGATGAAGAAAGCAGTTGTCTTCGTGGAGAAGGCTGAGGGACCAAACTCTATCAACGATGTCATCCGCAACTGCATCGATGGCGAAGCGTCACGCTGCGTGCGAGCTATCGGCACTAACGAGCACAACGAAGCGGCTCTTATGAAGCTCGCTCGGGGCAAGAGCGTTAGCAAGCGCAACGTTGATCGTATCAAGAGCGGAAAGACCGCCCGTGGTGTAAGTAACATGTGCGGACCCATGTCTGTATAACACTGACACGGTCACTCTAGCATTCGTACGTCGAGTTCCGCTTTGCAAACATCTACAACGCTCTCAACTTCAAGCGCGAACTCGTGGATAGTGAGGACTGGGAACATTGCACCATTGGCTATGCACCCGACCCGTGTGAAGCAGCCAAGGGTGTTCACTACAAGGATGCGGATGAGAAATAGAGCTGCATTGGTATACTCGACCAGACCATGTGCATCATGCTAGGCGGGGAGCACGGGCTGGAAGAGGTGGGCGAAACCCATTGTGTCTGCATACGAAGACTTTTGATGGGAGTGAAAGCTCGAGTGCGGGAAAACAAAACGTGGGGTGAGTCGGGACATGTACCAAGTGCGATCGTGACGGCTTGAAGTCACTGAAAGCTGAGATTGGTGTTCGCACTACTTCATCTTGCACGTGCAATAATTAGTCAAGGTGATAGCACAAGTGGAAATCCTAGGTGTACTTTGCTTTGCTCATGTACGTGCTATTGTGACACGAGTGCAACACCGCTCGTGCAAGAAGGAAAGATCAAACAACTTGCCAAAAGTCATGGGAGCATACTTGAAAGACTCAAGCCCCGCTTCACAATCACAGCACCAGGCAGTGGATAAGTACACTAATACACAAAAGAAGAATTACAATACCCCCCCTACCTAGAACTCTGAGAAGCCCAAACGCCTCGCTGCCCTCCCATGGTGTTTCTGGTTACTGTCATCTGTTCTCGCTTGCCGTCAAAAGGGGCTGCCCGGCTTCGCAGTCTTAGCGGTTGACGGCTGTGAAAGCTGCATCTGTCATGTCGGTATCACCGTTGTGCGGTGGAGGGGGCGCAGCGTCGGTCGCGGGCGGGCGCTGTTCATCGTAAGCCGGGTCGAAGTAGGCGCGCTGAGGGGGTGGCTGCTGTTGCGGCTGCTGTGCGTGCAGCGGCGGGAGCGCGTGCAGGGGAGGAAGTGTAGGAGGCGCGCCGTTGACAGCGGTGTGTGGACTGGTCGTCGTGGCAGCGCCAATGGCACCGAAGTAGCTGTTCTGGGGCCGTCCCGACGGGTCTGGTGTACTCTGCGCACTGCTCATAGGGTTGATGGCATGCGGCAGGGGGCCCAGTCCCAGTCGGCCCTCGGCGCTGCCACCAAGAGGAGGCGTGCCCTTCCTGTTGTGGCTCCTTTTGCTCCTCAAGGGCTTATCGGTTGGGGTGGGCGGTGGGCTGCTGCTGCGATCGCTGTCGTCGACATTGTACTCCATGTGCTTGTTCAGCTGCTCGAGCAGGAATGCGCGCTCGAGGCGCATCTTCTGGATGCCGCGGTTCAGGCGTGTGATGCGCAGGCGCGTGCCGTCGTTGTTCTCTTCAATGTCGGTTATGCGGCGGCGGAGGTCGATGCATTTGCGGTAGTAGGCGCCTTCGACCGAAGGAGGGAGGTCTTTGGACGAGACGGCGCGGGTCGCTGGTAGCTTGTTAGTGCACTGCGTCGTGGCCGCCTACGTGTGGTTTGCGACGCGCTTGAGCGCGACGGGAGTGCCTACGGGCTGGTGGCATCTTCGCGCCTTGTCGTGTTGTTGGGACGTAGACGATAGTACGTGCTGTGCGCCTGGAGATGATGCCGTATTGCAGTGTGTTTGGGTTCAGTGTGTTTGGATTTGGTGCGGTGATGTGGGTTTGCTGGTCACAGTCGGCGTTGCTGGTAGCTATGGTCTTGAGCTTGGTCTGTGGGGCCCGGGCTGGTTCCGAATAGTCTCATCTTGTGACATTCTTGGCGCGCTGTACAATTTGAACACTCATTTGACGAATTCCACTTCGGTCCTGCCGTCAACCTTATGTATGATAGACTACGTTGCTATCCCTCTGCTCTAGGGTATACTCCCTGCAAGGTCCCTCGTGTTGCACCTTTGTGGTTATACGAGGTTACACGTGCAACGTAGAATATCTGAGTTGCTTCATGTAAAGAGCGCGCAGTCAGAAGACCCAAAGATCTGGCTGTGACAAAAGGCGTACATCAGCTAGTATAATGCCTGGGGAAAAAAGACCGCAAAGTCATTTTATCATCCTTGAGAACATGTACGAGTGATCAGACATGGACAAAATGTGAGGCGGATACTATGACGAAAGTTGGGCTATGTATTGTACAAAATGCTCTCAATTTTGGGTTCTTTTCTATATTTTCATGATCTATAGAAGAGTGCACCAAACAGTGAGCGATAAGTAACGGAGAAAGAATCCCCTTCACAGCTAATCTACAGCGTGACACTCGAGTAGCAAAGGTACAGTGACTGGGCAATATTGAAAATTGAAGAACGAGGAGCATGCGATGCTAGATGGAGGGGCAGACGGGTGAAATGCTTGCACTAGTACTAAGGTATCTGAACGTCCAATTATTCCATATATACGATAACAGTATGGTTACATGGGAATCCTTCAATACTGCAGGTCAACTGCACTGTTGCTGCTGCCGCGCCTGGCCGAATGGAAAGCTCTTCGATAGACATCCGTGGCTGTGCAGACATCGTTTCGCTTTAGGCTCGCACGAAATGCCAGTGGGGCTTGCCTACGGGTATTTTGCCTGCTACCTCATGTGCTTTTGTTGATACAAATGACCTAGAATGCTTCCCTCTGTCAGTCCCCTGCCGCTTTTTGTATAGTCGCAACCATATCGCGTCGGCGTTGCTGTGACCCAGCGCTCCGCGTACGTCGTCTCTCGCTAGCACAGGGTCCAGCATGTCCAGCATTTCTTCGAAGCGCTCATCCCGCATCGTTACGTTTTTCGCAATGGCGCATAGCAAGGCGGTCAGACTGTTCCAGATCATCCGTGTAGGCGTATCAACGTACAGCTCCACTGGTGAAAAGTCGGCCGTAGGCTGCGAGTCCACGGCGAGCCTCGTCAGGCCAGTCCCGATAGCCTTGATCTCTAGCGACATCGGTTGGAAGCTGCCTTTCCTGTTGGAGTCGTCGTTCTGTCTAGTGCGTTCGTAGACCTTCCTGGTAATGTTCCATGCATCATCGATCCTAGTTCGCATGAAATCTTTTCCGTGTTCACACATCAATGCTACAATATCGAGCGCATTTGATACCACGTATGCTTCCGAATCTTGTAGACGAGGTAGTAATACAGGCCAGAGCGTATTAATGAGGGGCAGGAGTGAGTTCTCGTGTTCTGCAATAGCAGGTATAGTGGTACGAAGGAGGGACAGAAGCGAGTTCCGGAGGTTAGGCGACATGGTGGTGAGATAGTGCTGTGTCAACTCGGAGATTTTGAGGAGAATAGCAAAGGCACGCGGGGCGGGAGGGGAAGACTCCTCGGTGTGTGGGGGAGGCGGGCGACCGTTCTCCTCGTCCGTGCTATTGGAGTCGGTATCTTCTGAAGTCTTACCGACTTTCCAGGGCTTTCGTGGGAGTGCCTCCCTTGACGCTTGCTTCTCTTCCTCTTCCCGCTCTTGTGTCTCTACCTCGAACTTTTGAATTGCTTCGATGACATCGTTCATGACGACCGTTCTCTTCAGATGCACATGTTCCTCTTTCTTATTGTCGGCTGACACGGCAAGTTGTGGTGCTTTGACACCTTGTTCCGTCATGCCTTTCAAGACGTTGAAAAGCAGCTCCACAAGCTTAGGATAGCCATGATATCTCTCCAAGGCGTTGAAAATACTATCCACCAAGTCATCTAGGTAAGGTAGGAGAGGTGGGCCACAAAGCCTTATCATCATGAGTAGGACTTGTGGTGCTTGAGGCGACACATCGCCATATGCCAACTTTAGGCCAATTGCGTTGACAATGTAATCGACATTACTGACAACAAGCTCCCCTGCGTCCTTGTATCCCGAGGCCCCTGCTACGATATTGAGACAAATCAGGGCGTGCTCGCGTAGTGCGCTGTTGGAACTGCCAAGGTAATGCAGCACCGGATAAAGTACTTCACTCAACTCCGGGCGAAACTCAGTCTTGTACCGCTTCGCCTGCAAAGCTACCGTCTCGAGCGCTAATGCATATAAATGCCAATGGCTGTTGGTGTCCACAGTTCGCTGGTTCAGCAATGACAGAGAATGCGAGTACAAGTCATCCAAGACTTCCTCCCTCGGGTTTGGCGTTCCCAGATTCATGAAATCATCGACAGATGGATTGACTGATGCCATGTCTCTTACTAGATTGACTGAGAGCCAGAAGCTCGCCAAGCGCATCTCGGGCGCCCCAAGATCGACGGAATTGGTCAGGCCCTGAGCAACAGCCAACGCAGAGTTGGATCGTGCAAGTTCTTGAACTAATACTTTAAACCCCTTCATCATGTCTTCCTGGCCTTTGAATTGCATGCTGATTAGTGGGAACGAAGACGACTCTGTCGAGCTAAATACCAGCGTACGACCAGCGACGAGACTGGCGTTGCGGTCGTTTATTTCTTCGAGCCCCCTGCCATGGATAAACACTGCAGACACGCCATCCCGAAGACTATCGGCCAGACGCTCATCTAGAATCATTGGATCTTCATCGAACAGGCGAAGTGAGACTGATATCTGATGTACGATTTTATGGCGGGTACGGTCGTGTTTTGATCGCATCAATCTAGGCAAGGCGACGATCCAACCATGCAAACTTTCGCGCAAAAGTTCGGAGAGATTCTGGTCTGCTGATAACAGTCTTTTGAGTTTGTCCTCAGTGGTGTCGGCCGGGGTCTCATGGCCTGCCAGATCGACCATGGTTTCGATAGCCATGCTTGTGCAAAGAGACAGTGATGTACGACAATCCCTTACGACGCAAAGACACAGATTCAAGAGCGCTTGCCGTACCTCTTGCTTATCATGATCCCTCAATCTGAAGATATTGGCAAGCGCAATCTTCATCTGTGTTGCAGTTGCTTGTAGCCAAGCGACTGATCGAGATATTGTGGTGCATCCGCCAGACTCATCCGACAGTAGTGTCTCGGGCAAATCTTTGGTCTGGGCATCGCCAAGTAAACGGGCAAGAAGTGATGCAAGAACTTCCAAGCCTTGCTCAACAACGCGAAAGCCGGGTCGAACACTGCTACGGGGAGTCAATACTTTAGCCAAAGACGAGACTATCCTGGGCAGAAAGCTGGCAAGAGCATCGTCATCGCCAATCGCGCCGACAGTTTGTTTGAGGGCGCAAGTGGACTGCAGCTTGACGGTGTTGGAGTTGCTATCTGTGAGACGTTCGAGCATGACTAGTACAGCCTCGCCCAAGGCAGGTATGTTAGCCGCAGCCGTCATGGCCTCTTTGCCCTGCTTGGTACGAGACGTCGCACTCATCAACTCGGATGTGCAGCCGAGAGCGAGCGACTGTAGCTCCTCTGAGGTGGCCGAGATGCCATTCTCGGCGGATGAAGGTTTGGCGAGAAAGGTGAAGAGGATGAGGAGTTGTCCAGAGAGCGCAGGCTCAAGGCCACCTCCCCAGTTAGCAGATAGCAAGGTCGAGATGCATTCCAGGCAGAGCTCTAGCGCTCTAACTGGGACGTGTCGGGAATTCCGCAGTACCTGAGATAGAGAGACGAAAGCGTACTCAGTGAGTTTAGCGTCCAGGAGACCAGGTGTGGAGGTGATGGATTGGAGGTTAGTGAGCAGACGGGTGAGGGCGTGGATCAGCTCCCTCGGAGCGCTTGGGCTCTGCGAGAGAGTGGCCGTGGCTTGTAGGACTTGGACACACGGCTGCTTCAACTGAGAGAGAGAGAGGGGTCAGCGCACGTGGGGAGGTCTGGGCAGACAGCGTACCTGCAGGAAGGTGTGTTGGCGCTCCATGTGACATGGCCAGATGGGCGTCAAGGCCAAGGGGCTGGTAGTGTCGGAGAGTGCGTGTGTTCGGGCTGGGGCGTACAGGAGTGGTGGGCGGTGGTGGTGGTGGAGCACGGTCCCGACAGGCGGACGTCAGTCGCGTAGTTAGCGCGTCGCGGCTCAGAAAGTCGGACCACAAGCACGTTGGCCTCAACATCGCCGCCCCATGCCCATCACCGCGCTGCTACTCGACGACCCCACTGCCGCGCGCAACCGCAGCCACAGCCGACACACACTACCTCGTCTCTGCACGCCGCTGCCCACGCGCAGCCACGCGACATGGCACCGCGCAGTAGGCGCAGCGCGGCCGCCGCGCCCGAGGCGGTGCAAGACGAGCAGGAGCAGGAGCAGGAGCAGGAGCAAGAGCTGGAGCTGGAACGCGGCGACGAGGCACGCGAGGGCCTGAAGAAGCTCACGTTCAAGCAACCGCTTGTTGGCCGGCCCGGCAAACAGATTGGCGTCAACGACCTGTTGACGCGACTCAAGGCGCTGCTCGACGAACTGCGCACCATAGACCAGGAAGAGGCACACCGCGACTCGCTCATGCCCGTCGCCGAGTCGCTGGCCCACCACAGCCTCGTGCAGCACAAGGACAACGGCGTCCGCGCGTGGACCCTGTGCTGCATCGTCGACATGCTGAAGCTGTTTGCGCCCGATGCGCCCTACCCGGCCTCGAAGCTCAAGGACATCTTCTCCGTCATCATCCTCAAGCTGCTGCCGCTCCTCGCCGAGCCCGCGCACCCCTACAACAGCCAGCACATGTACATCCTCCGCTCGCTCGCCGAATGGAAAAGCATCCTCCTCATCAACGAGATCCCGGGCTCCCATCACCTCACCGCCGCCCTCTTCACCACCTGCTTCGACGTCCTGTCTGCCTCGTCCAGCGGCCAAGAGCTGAGCAAGAACGTCGAGCACAACATGACCGAGATCCTCTCCACCATCATAGACGAGGCCCCGGCAGTCACGCACGACGTGGTCGACGTTGTCGTCGCCCAGTTTCTCTGGGCCGATCCCTTCACCCTCGCCGCCTCAGCCAGGGCCAACAAGAGCCTGCACATCGACGCCAAGCAATCAACGCTGCGGCGCAAAGAGGCACCGCCCGCCTACAACATGGCTAAGAATGTCTGCAACGCTTTCCCAGAGAAGATGGCTCGCCTCATCGGCAACTATTTCAGCTCAGTCATTGTCGACTTCACCAACTCGGGGAGCACATACAAGCCCCATTCCAAGGACCAAGGTGCCGACGACCTTCGTCGCGGCCCCTCAGAGGACGATATCAATGAGGCACATAAAGCACACCGGCTATTGCGCGAGCTATGGAAATGCTGTCCTGGCGTGCTTCAGGAGATCGTCCCGCATCTACAGGACGAGCTCGCCACGGAGAATGTGCAGCTCCGTCAGCTTGCTACCGAAACATTCGGCGACATGATATCAGGCATTGGTGCAGCTGGCCCACCTCCTCTGCCCGACATGGACCCAGTGGCCTATCCTTCACAGAGCCTGTCGCGCGCAGACTCGGCGCGACCCTTCGACTATCTCACCACGCCAGTCTCCATCAACTCGTTCCCCACGCAATACCCTGTGGCCTATCATTCTTTCCTCCAGCGTAAGAACGACAAGTCTGCCATCATACGCGCCGCTTGGACCACCGGAATCGGTCGCATATTGATGACATCCGCGGGTGGTATTGGTCTCGATCTCGAAGAAGAACAGAAGCTGCTCAAGTACTTTAGTGAATGCTTGATTGATAGCGACGAGAAGGTGCGTCTAGCCGCCGTCAAAGCGATTGCGCACTTTGACTTCATCGACATCGTTCGCAAGCTCGGTAGCAACGGCAGTATGGCGGAAGCAGGGTCCATTCTCTCCAATCTTGCCGATCGCGTAAAGGACAAGAAAAACGTCATCCATTCCGAGTCTATGAGACTCCTCGGCAAGATATGGGGTGTAGCTGCTGGTGCCATCGCTGAGGGCGATGACAGCATCAAGGCTCTGCTCGGCCCAATTCCATCCCGTATTCTCGAAGCTTGCTACGTGAACGACCTCGAAATCAACGTGCAGGTCGATCTCGCGCTATACGACTCGCTGCTTCCGCTTGCTTATCCACCCGTTAAAGCAAAAGCACCGCCAGCTGGGAACTCCCAAACCGGAAAAGACAGCCAGACAAACAACGACCCGGGTTACACAGAAGCAGGCCTGGATAAGATGCGAACCGAAAGACTGCTCGTACTCGTCAACGGGCTGGAGGCGAAAGCCAAGAAGGTCTTTTTCGCGAAACAAGGGAACCAGGGTCCCGGTGCTAGGTACATGGAGCACTTTCTAAAACTATGCGAAGACTACAATGGTGGCGTCACAGAAAAGGGTGAGAAGGATGTCAAGACAAATCTGGAGGGCCTCATCACCTACTACGCGAAGACACTTCCCGATCCAACCCGCGTTAGGGACGATTTATGGAAATTTGCCAAAGCCCACGATCGCCGTACCTATGCTCTCATCCGGTTCTGCGTGGATCCAGCGAGTGACTACCGCCGGGTTGTTAGGTCCATCAAGGAGCTAAGAAAGAGGATTGAGGAGGGGCCAGGCTCTTCAGTGCTCGATACCTTGACACCACTTCTCTACCGCGTTAGCCTACTGTGCTACAACAAAAGCCATGTACCAGCTGTCATCGAGTATACTCGCACCAACGACAAGGGCCTTGGTGCCACTGCTCACGAGTTGTTGAAAGAAATCTCCACAAAACACCCCAAGGTTTTCTCCACCCACGTAAAGGATCTCTGTAAAACACTTGAAAGTGAGGCACCTACAGCAACGAAACCCAACCCTCCTGGTGCAGTAGACGATCTCAAAGCCTGTGCTGCATTTGCACAGAAGTTCCCCACGGACATACCAATGAACGGAAAGGACAGCCTAAAGTTGGTACAAAGCTTTCTTAACTTTGCCTTCTACGGTACACCTCCGCAAGCGGCAAAGCATGCAATCACCATCATTATGAACAGTGATGACAAGAAGGAGATGCATGCGAAGGAAATTCTCACGAAGAGCATCAAAGGCTTCCAGTACGCTGGGGCTCACTGGCTTAGCAAATTAGCTGCGCTGAGTCAACTAGTATTACTAGCGCAGCAAGATTGCGAAGATGATATGGATGCCATCGTTGAGATTGCTATCAAGGAGGTTCTCCAGAAACCACATGTGATGCTAGCCGACGCAGATATCGAGTGGATGGATATACCGGATGACGAAATCCAAGGCAGGTCGTGGGCGATCAAGATTCTAGTGAACCGGCTACGCTCCTTGCCGTCTGATGCCAACTTCAACGATGCTGCAGAAGACACGTACAGGCTACTAAACCGCTACGTGAAAGACAGCGGGGAAGGCTCGGCGGATGGCAACACCCCAGCAGGACACAAATCGCGCCAGCGGCTTCTTGCAGCCAATTCCTTACTCAAACTCTCATGCAACAAGCGCCTAGATGCTTTCTTGAGCCCCGCTGACTTTGTTCAACTCGCTCTCATTACGCATGACCCTTGTGCGCAGGTGCGTCAGAGCTTTGCTGACAAGTTGATGAAATATCTTGGTCAGGGCCGGTTGCCGCCACGATTCTATACCATCCTCTTCTTCCTCGCACATGAGCCTGAAAAGACCATCAAGAACAGCACCATGACCTGGATTCGAGCACGCCGCGCTGCTTTTTCTGCACGAAAGGAGACAATATTGGAGACCGTATTCGCTCGGCTATTGAGCTTGCTTGCTCACCACCCCGACTTCGACACAGAAGACGAGACACTAAAGCTTATGGCAGAGTACATCTTGTATTACCTCAAATGTATCGCAACTGAGGAGAACCTGTCGCTTATCTTCCATGTCGCTCAACGCGTCAAGGGCGTAGCAGACGGCATTGCACCATCACGCCAGGCTGATGAGAATCTTTACATCTTGTCAGATCTAGCGCAGGCTCTGATTCGTTCGTGGGAAGAGCAGAACAACTGGACAATGCAATCATGGCCAGGGAAAACGAAATTACCCTCCGGTATCTTTCGGCCTCTTGAGAGTCACGATCGGGCGCAAGAGATTGCCAAGAAGACATGGATTGGGGAAGACCTCGTCGACGAACTTGATGTACTCGTGCGAAAAGCTATTCGAAGCAAGAAGCGCAAGGCCTCAGATGGTATGGAGAAGCCACGTAAGAAGATCAAGGGCGACCGATCTATCAAGAATAAGAAGGCCAAGACTGAGCGACCCGTTAAGACACCGAAGAAGAAGAGGAGAGCTGGTGACGATGATGGTGCGAGCGATGTTGAGGGCGGTGTTCCGCCATCTAGTGGACCACGAAGAAAGAGCGATCGACGGAGCATTGCACACAAGAGCTATGTTGAGGTATCAAGCGATGAAGAAGGCGCAGGAGGTGTTGCTGAAGATATCCAAGAAGAAGCTGAAGAAGAAGCTGAAGAAGAGAGCGATGCATCGGATACAGAACAAGAAGACAAATCTACTCCTGCTGCGGAAGTAGATGTGGCTATGAACGACGCAGAAGTAGCGGCTGAGAAAGAGCACGGAGATAAAGCAGAAGACTCTGAACTTTCAGACCCAGGATCGTCTTCAGAGCCCGAGCCCGAGCCCGAACCTGCGCCAGCAAAAAGAACACGCGGAAAGGGTGCTGCTAACACGAACGGCGTTAATCCATTACCAGTCATCCAAAAACGCAAAGCTGCCAATCTGATCAAAGAAGCCACACCGCCCAAGTCCGCGAGGAGCACGACTAGAACCAAAGCAAACAAAGCCAAGGCTAATGGCGCTGCTGCGACCTCCTCACCCACTTCTGCCACCAATGGTACTGTCCGACGCAGCGGCCGCGCTCGTGGCTGAGGTAGTGAATTATTCTTTCAAAGTTCTTTCGGTTGTTTCGAATACACCTGGGTACAATGTGTATAGTTACCACCACACAATACGGATTAGATTCTTTACATTGTACC